TATATATATATATATATATATATATATATATATATACATTTGCCCACTTCATATTTTATCTAAAATATTACATATATATTCTCAGTTATTATTGGTAAAATATAGTTCCTTTAATAAAAAATCATATAAACCACGGATGCGTTAATATCTATTTATATTCACAGAATATATTGCTTATTTATCTATTAATAATACATTATAATTTAATTTTATAATAATATTGCTCATTTTATAATAATATTGCTAATATTGCATTTATCTATTAATAATATATTATAATTACAGTTCCTATTTCATCATCTTTGACATCTATTTCTGATTGTAAAGTATCGTCAAGATTAACACAAGAGGATAATCAATGATATATGATTTATACCACAAGAGGATAATCAATGATATATGATTTATACCTACAAGCACTTATGAAATCGAGCAACGCTCTCACCCAATGGGTCACAGTCGGCGAAAAATTCAGGAATCAGATTACGAAGAGTGTACTGCGAGTCCAAATATTTCTTAGCTTTCTCCAGATCGAATTTCGCAGTCAAAATAGTACACCGTAATTTTTCATCCGAAATCTCTGCATGAAACGTATAATTGCGTTATTAGGTCATATTAAAACAGTTCATTACATTTCATGTTGTACTATTTTAGTCGACATATTACAATAGAATGTATTGAGGTAACTAGCTTGCCTAGTCATTAATCATTGCATCCCAGTAACACATACACACACATACATTAACAGTAACACAATACATCAGTATTACATATTATTATAATTTCCCACCAGAGCAAAATGTTACAATCTCTTACTAGGTCTAGCAAGATAATTTGTTTGACCAGTTCCTTTACAGAAATTAATTTAACACTGATAGTGATTAATTATTTATTTTCTACATTTGTAGTAATGCTGTTAATAATTTTTAGTAAGTCAATCCCCTTACAAAAAAGTATCACTGTCTGTGGTAAAATGATGAATTGTTATTGCTCAGCAGTTTTATTATTCGTACGAATAATAAAATTAGTGAGCAATAGTAATTTCTCATTTGCTTGATGTATATTCACTATCTACTGCACTTCCACTGCTTTCGCAATATTTAATCCACTGAAAATTCAGTAATTTTCATTATTAAATTTCTGTAAGAACATATTTTATCATTACTGCGCTATTAAACACTAATATTTAAATATTTAAATTAATGATAAGATAGTATTTAATCACTGCTACCCTAAGCACTAAAATATTTGAGATCACTGCGAGCTAATTTAATCATTACGAATTATTGACAACAGTGTTTTAAACATTCAAAAAAAGTAATTAATCATTCAATTAATCAAATCATTCAATTAATCAAAAATGAATAATCAGCTTAGCAGCAAATTTCTGTAAGGGATGTATGAAATTAATTAGTAAGAATTATTTAAACCTTGTAAAGTGCAAACCTTGAGGGAGATGAAGTTGTTGTTGTAGCCATTGCCGAAATTTATCGGCCATTTCTTGAAAGAGTTGCTCGTTTCCTCCAGCTTCCTCTATTGCTTCTTTAATTGTTATGATTTCTAACTTAATCATGTTTATGATACCGCTTATTTTTCACAAAACTGTTTTAAAGAGTAGGCGCAATCTGAAATTATCCCAATACATGTTAACTTATATAACTCCCAAAAAGTTCTATTATTATAATAATATTTTATTTATATAAAACTTGAATTAATTTTGATTCTCCTCTCTTTCTCTCACTCCTTTCTCCGTCTCTCCTTTCTGTATCTCTTCTATTGTTTATCCATCTATCTTATTAATAAACTTCTAGTTCTTACATAAAAATAGTTAACATTATTTAATGTTAATTAACTACCGTAAATATTTCCGCGTATTATGTGTTCAGAAATCATATATTATATTTATTTGTGAACTTATTGAATTATGTTCATCTCTTTATTATAATTAACACTAAATGTAAACCTTTAAACACGTTTATCTTGAAATTATTTTTTATGCTAATCAAAGAAATATTTAAAGAACTATTGATCCAATTCACTTCTACGTTGCGGCATTTTATTTTTAGTCGAATTTTTGTTTGTTTGTATGTACAGATTTTTCTTTTTTTCTTAAACTCGCTAAAAAAAAATTGAGCGATTTTTGTCGAAAATTCTTGTATAATCTTTTCTTTAAAAATCTATGATTTTGTAAATCCAAAATTATTCTTAAAATCCGTACGTACAAACGAAGCTGTTTTCGTGTTGTTTCTAAAAATTTCTATTTCATTGACTTCAGATTAACCAAAGAATCATTTGGACATTATAATCATAACTTCCAGGAGTTTTGTTTCATGCAAGCAATTCGTCATAAAATATATATTTTTAATAAATTAAAGAAATATTTCTAAAACATTCACAAAATATATACAAAACAACGTCATTAAAAAATTTATTCTTTTAAGAAATAACTTTTAAAAATCCTCTTTTGTTCTTTGTTCTCTTCTCATTGTGGTATTTCTCCTCTACAAATAATAAGAAAACAAATATTTCTAGGCATTAAACGAACATGAAAATGGCGATTAAATGGCGATTAAATGACGATTAAAATTTATTTTCATATTCTCTGTTTTAAAATATAAATATTCGGATTCGAACTTTTCATGTTATAAATAATAATAGTGACTACGCGATAGAATATTAAAACGGCTGTAAAATAATATTAATAAGTAAAAATTACATTAGCGTAAGTTTTATTACCTTTCATAAACTATTTGTTTCGACTGTACGACTGTCACCTCACGATTGTTACTCGACGACTGTCTCCTAACAACTGAACGAGTTATACTGAGTATCTTATTTATTTATCTATAACAGTAACATTAATCTATAACATTTGTAACCAAATTGTTCGTAAAAAAATGTAGTTTTTATAGACATGTTTTTATAAAAATGGATGAGAAATTCACCTTGATTTCTCATATTTTTCATATTTATTCGTAAAATCTACATTTAAAATGTCGAACTTTGTATATTATTATGTTCCGTATTCATTAATTATTCGACGACACTCAAGTTTTTAATCACACGCGAAGCGATATATATGTAAATAAAAGAAACTCGTTTAAAAAAATTTAGAGAATACTCGGAAGAAGCGAGCTAAATTAATCTAAATTTACATATATATCGCTTCGCTTTGCAAAACCTTGCTCTACCGCTGCTCATCAGTTCGAGTCATTAGCCCATATACAGTTTTTTTTTATTTCCGGTTCTACATATAGTTTTATATATATATGTGTGTGTGTGTGTGTGTGTGTGTGTGTGTGTGTGTGTGTGTGTGTGTGTGTGTTACGAATATATACTTTCTATTAGGGGGACCGGAAAGTAATGTCGTTTTTTCACATTAAATTCA